TGATTGCCAACAACCGTAAAAACTTAATTTTATAGTTCACCCTTGAGCACAATATACGATATTTGCGGAGGAGGGGAGAGGGTTGAAAACTTACCAGTCACTATGAGTCACGGTGAACCTCGGATGACTCTCGGGTAGCTCATAAAATGGTATAATATAATATAATATAAGGTATACGGATATGATATTACACGCGGTGATATCATATGGTATGTGGGTTGAGTGAAAACCAGACTTCGGGGGATGATTTTGCGTTTTCCACCCTATAAAAATTACATTCGTTGACGGACCGCCGCCGCTGCTAACCGCGTCGCATGTACAGGGTGTCCCGCCGCTTTTTCACGGTCAAATGGTAAGGGTAAACGAGGGAAAAACGCATGCCCACCCGCCCTGTATATATTACTGCGGTGTATATTATGCATTTCCGACAGTGCATTATGGTTATATATTATTGTTACAAATTATAATGTATAAGCCGATCGGCCTCGGCCGTGACGGAGCTCGTGCAGTTTCCGTATAATATATTATTACTATTGTTGCCGCGGGGGTGGCGGATTTGCGCTCAAAAACGTTTCCATCAGATGATTATATTATATTTTATGCGTACTCTCCTATTTTTCCGTTTGCCCCGCACCGATTTCGAAAAAAAGGTCTGTCGCCGGCCCCGCGAAATCGTACGAAAAACCGCGACGTCATTCCGTGCACAATCAATCAATCGCCGGACCGCGGCAAACGGTCGGCTAAGATCCGTCAGCAGCGCTATAGCCACATCAATAATAATATTGAGCTTAGACGTCCGACGACTGTAACAGTCACTTATTATTTCTATTATTATTATTGTTATTGTTATTTTTATGATTATCATTTTTCGTTAATTATATATATCCACGCAGCTGGCGGCGACGATGACGAACAGCAATATTATTGCAGTACGTTGACCGCGTGGGGTACGGTGTAAGTCTGCCCGACTTAAGGTCGATTTCCCGGAGTCGGTCTGTCATCGGTCGATATGGTTTGTCGACATTTCCGTTTGACGATCTTTTTTCCCAATTCAAACTAGAGCTCATTCGAAAAAAAAAAATACACCTACGTATAATTAGTTATATGTGTAATAATGTTCATGTAATTTGTGTTGAAAACTTTTGTAACACTTAAGTATAGCCGTGTAGGTATATGTCTTGTGTATCTTGTTTGTGTTCGCTTGGCTGTATTTAAAATGACAGGTGTCATAAAACGCTTATTATTGGTTTAATACTACAACATAATTATTGTATGAAATATTATGTACAATAAGTAAAAATGTAATAAATGGAATAATACTCATTATAGTTATTATGTTCGTACAAAATATACTCCGTTGAAGGGACTTCAAACCTTTTAAAAATATTTTATATTACAAACGCCTCCGAAAAAGATAAAAGCACAAATAACTATTTATGTATTATAATATAAAACTTTTGAATTACTTTTACTTTCTCAAAAAGGGTTTTCCGGGAAAAAGGAACATCGTTGTAGTATATATAATATATATATATTATATATGTATAAAGAGAGATACCTGATATAATATTATATTATCGTAGTCTATTTTCTCGGTTCTTAGCGACCAAAAGCTTTTAAGCATTTTGAGATATTAAATATTTGACACAAGACGTGTACAATTGATAAAAATAAGTGCACCGCGGAAATTGATACTTAGTATACCTATATAGAAACTTGTATTTTATTGTTGTTGTAGTCCATGCACTATATTAACGTGTCCGATGTTTTGTTTAATGCGCGATATTTATAAACCTCGTTAAATCTCTGCACCGACACAAAGGTAGTTTTGTTTTTGATAGATTTTATAAACTTTTTTTTCGCCAAAATATACAAGCCAACGGCCGTGTAACTGTCTCATAAATCATAAGCGCTGGTCCCGACACCAATTATCCGCAGGCCGCGATGATTATCACGCGTTTGACGATAAACAATTATACAAACACTAATAATCCCACTGCACAGAAATAACCATGTACGGATGACACAGATATAATATACTTACTGTTGCTATTTTTATTTCGTCCGATTGAATAATTGAATAATTATTGTTGGTCGTAAAAACGAGCGGTTTTATTTTTGTTTTTTATTATTATTCGAGTCGCAATAAAAGTTTGGTACAAAAAACCGACGAAATAAAAAAAAAGCGATCGTAAGCGCCGAATTGACGTTTTCGCATATATATGTTGCAAATCCGAGCGAAAAAAATATGCCTACAAAGAGCATAGGCGTTATCGGATGTACCCAATAATTATTATCAACTGGAAGGGTGACTGATATTTTTAAATAATATAAAGTAGGCAAGTGCCTATTGAAAATAAAAAAAATGTTAGTTCAGAAAAACATTTCTATACGCCTTCATAACATAAAATATTAGAAAAATATTTTGGTTTTTTTTAAGTAAATATTATGTATTTACCTCTGTGTGTAGTATAGATCAACGGTGTTTTTTGCTATATGTTATTTTCATTTTTTTTTTAAATCATAGCAAGTGTTTAGTAACAAGTTGGCCTAAGTAGTTTATGGAAAATAGAAACTTTTTTTCTTTAGTCTGAATATTTACCAATTATTGTAGTAAGAAATTATTTTGATTTCTCATCAAAATATTCATAATGGAAAACATTACTATATGACTTTGTCAATGGTTTTTATGGAGGCTTGGGTGGGGGCATTTTTCAGAAAGAACTGGGGGGGGGGATCCTACAAAGAATATTTAAGAAAAATATGTATTTTCAGGTTTGTCGGGTATTTGATGACGTTCTATATATAATTTTGGTAGAAAATGGGAATTTTCTCGGAGGTTGTAAACCAAACAAGACATAAAGTCCTAATATTAGGATTATCGGCGAACAAAGACTTTAAACTGATGTCCCGAACAGTTGTAAAGATGGTGTTACGACCCTCATCGCCGCGGCGACATCGATATGTGTATTATTACCATCGTTATTATTATGCTCATAATATACGTAATCCAGAGTAGAATTCAAAATGAGCTTTACCGCAAAGCGGATCGACGGTGGCTTTATACACACACATGTGGTGTACGTACACACGCATTCATGGAGGTTGGTTAGTGCGCACATACTAACCAAATTATAATATATCGTACACGATATACGTACCCATATGAGGTATACATGTACATGGTCTCGATCGCGCGTAATGTATTTGATTAGTTACCTATACATATAAGTATATAGCTATATATATATATATACACGTGTGTGGGTGGGTGGGTACACCTGAAGTCCGACGACGCAAAGACGGCACTCTGTCGTCGCATAATAATATATACGTATCCATGTACAAACACACACACACACTTATATATATATATATATAATATATTATATTATAACGTTCGTTTCACATGAGCGTTATACCAGTCATGTATATAATATATACGTGTGTGTGTGTGTGTGTGTGTGTTTGAGCACGCGCGTTCATTAACATGTATTTTACATATTGTTCATTTAAACGTGTACGGCGCGCGAAAACCCGGAGGAGCTCATTTCCCTAAACTCGTTAGCGCCGCCACGCCCGGGTGTGACCCATATTTTAAGAACAAAAATCCCGCGACGATTCCCCGGCGGAGGATTTATTATAATAGCCGACGATATAAAATATGTTGTAATAATAATTATATGCCCGTGTATTTGCGTGTGGTATATAGGTACATAATATTTCGTAAACATATACAAATTATATTGTACTCCGTGGGTGTCAATAATAATAATAATAATAATAATAATAATAATAATAATAACAGTAATGTACGGTATGTTATAATAACGGACAAGTCGAAACTGCAGACGCGGTAGGATAGCGCAGGAGAAATATTTCATAGCAACACATATTATCACGATACCGAGGAAAAACGACAGACTGCCGGCGAAAAATAATAAAATACCAGCTAGGAATCTGCATATTATTATTGCAATATGCGCAGGGTACGGATCGCATAATTGTCAATAATATACTCGACTACACGCTACAGGGTATTTCAAATTTTGAGCGTCACACATTCTGCGGAGGTAGCGTGCACATTACGATACAGTTGTGACGAAGTGTTCACCAAATTATATATGATATTAGTCTCGCAGCGTGACATAATGATATGCACAATGGCACTGATTTTTTTGCAAATCCACTCTGCCCGTTATTCGGCTCTCGGCACACGGCACAAAAGCATTTAAAACGAGAACACGCAAATAAAATATGACTGTCACATTGCGATAAATCCGTTTTATCGATTTAAAATTTGACGTGGATAATACTTTTTGGCGCTAACATAATATTTCTATTCGGTTTAACATGGTTTCGACTGTTAGTTTCCAGACAGTTTCGAGACAAACAGACCGACTCAGGTTTGTTAATAAATCGTGTTTCATTAGTACCTAGTCGATCGCTTATACCCAAGTCTTTCGTGTTCAAACTGCAGTGGAATTCGTTAATGAATGTATTATTACAGTAAACTATGAAATATGTATCTATTGTTTTTATTTTATTCATTAATTATTATAATATATTCAACATTTAATTTCCGACTACTGTATTAAAAACATTTCAAAAATCTTTTTATGAAAATAACGTGTCAAAAGGTTGAAAAAAAAACACCGCTCATAACAGATTTTCTGGCACTAAGAAAAATACAGTAGAAGATCATATTTTGTGTTTTGTACAGAGAGTAAAAACCGCTATCGGACAAAATTAATTTGATTGAAAGTTTTCGATCATCGGCGGGACACGTAGAACAGTGACCTCTCGCGGGCTTATAATATTATACTATACATATTATGTAATAAATAAAACGATCACTGTATGACTGCGCAGCTGAAGTGTCGAGGACTTTGATCGATCGATTGGACGCCGAATCGATACCGTCGCGGTCAAGCCTTTGGTTGTACGCCATTTCGATCGGTCGGCGATGGCTGCGATTTACTAACCTCGGTTAGGTCCGATCACAGCGATTCATAGTTAAGTCCATCGTCGGACCGTAACGAATCGTACAAAGCGATTGTAGCTGCCGACGACGACCGACGATGCATGGTTGTCGGTGGCAGTCTCCTACGATCGAGTTGTCGCTTCTTTGACCGATTTTTAGGTTTTATCACTCCTGTTGATTTCTTAACCGGTGGAGACTTCGTCTTCTTTGGTTTTGGCGTAACTTCTTCATCGAGGCACGAAGGCTCTTCCTCGCACGAGGGATCTTCCGAGCACGTCACAACCTCCTCGAGTGCTTCGGTGGTCTTAGTCATTTTTTTGGTCGTCTTGCTCGATTTTACAGTTGTTTTACTCGATTTTTTTGTAGTTTTACTCGCTTTTTCCGTATTTTTACTCGCTTTTTCCGTAGGGTTACTCGTAGCTTCCGTAGGATCGCTAGAATTTTCAGTCACCGGACTAGGTTTTTCGGGTTTTGTCGATTCATTATTTGTTTTTTTGGTTTTTTTCTTTTGGGTCGTATCTTCGGCCAAAGTCGTTTCTTCTTCTAAACAGGTCGTTTCTTCTGAACTTGAAGTTTCTTCTGTAGATTCAGTTTCTTCTGTACACGTAGTTTCTTCAATTGTGTTGATTACTTCAGTCGAAGTCGTTTCTTCGACCACTTGAGTTTCTACAGGTGGTTCGGTAGTAGCTTCAGTCGTCGTTGAAGCTTTGGTTATCTTGGTTACCTTGCTAGTTTTGGTCGTGGTGACTTTGGTTACCGTATTATTCGTCACCGGAAAATTGGGGTACGTTTTCAGTATTGGTGACCAACGTTTGGTAGTCGGTACAGGCGTGGTGAACTTAATCTTGTAGCAACGGGTGTGGTTCGACGTATTGTTTGCTATCTGACCCACTGTAACGGTTTCACCTGTGGCGAGTGAAATTCGGGTATTAGTTTTGTAGGTTTTTATAACACATTTAAATATGTTATACTTATAAGCTACCTGTTTAATAAAACTATGTATCGACGTACCTACTTAGACCGTTACTTATTTAAAAATTGACTGAACATATACCATAATATTTCTGAGTAAATTGGAACAAAATCTCTACATTTTAGGTTAATCAAACTACCTATTAATAAACTCCTACAATGGAATAATTACAAAAACATATTCTTGCAGTTCTATTGTATATTTAATGAGAAAACTAGTAGTAAGCATACAATGTTTAAAGTTATAGGTATGTCGGTATAATATACGAGTCTTAAATTAAATAATACGTGATGCAACTATTGTGTTTTTTATAAAATAATATAAATTTGCAATTTCAATTTAAATAATTATCTACATATTTTAGTATTTTAAAATAATAAGCTTTTTCTGTGTGATAACCTTTTAATACTAATTTAATTTAACACGAGAATAAAATAATTTAACATTAAAGTACTTGAATTAAATCAAAAAATAATATTTCTCCTTAAAAAAAACATTGAAAAATCACCACTACATAAACGAAGTGGAGTACGAAATGATGATGGTTATATTATAACCTCGTATCTATAATATTATCTCATATTAGTATATTACTATATAGTCATAGTTAGATAGTGAACATTTGGGTCGATAAAGCATCGCACAGAAGCTTATTAAAAAAAACCTAGTTTCAGCAACAGCTGAACCTTAGCAGTTACGAACTTTGTGTTATAACTTATAACTTATAATATAAGTCAGAGATTCCTAAATTGTGGGTCGAAATTATATTTTTGGTGTGCTGTGTTAAGATTTTAAATATTTATAATATATTTTTTATAACATCAAATATTTAATGTTGATTGGATGACCTACTTTAAAATATATGTGTCTAAAAGTGAACATTTAAATTTGTTTTGTACAACTAAGAGCATAAATTAAATCAAATCAAAATAAATATGATACAGTATTTTTCATTTTTTCAGTATTACTGCATTGTACATTGATGTTCAATTTAGTAGTATTATTGATCATTATCCACAGCGATTGTAAGTGTACCAATGACACTGTTGGACTTCAATTTATAGCAAAGATCATCAATGAAACAAAAAAAAAATGTAATTAATATGTTTTGGGTCTCTAAAATTTAAAAATGTTCTAAAATTTTTCGTACTGTGAACAGTTCGGGAACCTCTGATATAATATTAAGTTAGGAAAATAATTGCCGTGGGGATGAACCTATTAGTCTGCCGACGTAGCGCCGTCTTCGACGGTGCATCGTGGTCATGAATCGACTATGTTCACTCTCCATGGCTGCGGTGATATGTGTCTTCGTGTACCGGAAGTGCCGCGACGCGGCAACCGTTTGTCGTGGCACGACGGTCGCGCAAGGTGACAACTTGTATGGCGGCGGGTAAACTCCGCTGTAAACCGTCGGCGACAGTACCGCCAACACGATAGCGGCGGTGACGATTGTAGCGGTGGCGGTGGTCAACAGCGTCAGGAGAGGGTGACTACGATAACGGTACCGGTAAAAACGTTTCCGGTTCATGACTGTCCGAAACAGACGGCTTGCTGCGGTGTGACGACGTTATCGCGCCATGCGAAATAATAATAATCATAATAATAATAACAACATGTATGACGACGATAAAGTAGCAGCGGTGTTGTTGTTTGGCTGTCCGAGAAAAAAAAAACTTCATAGAGTCATCTAGTTTCGCTGCCTGGATACCAAGCTCAAACCAGCTGATCATCGTCGATGACCGCAACCGCGAACATTTATTTATTTAATTACTGGCTTACCATACTCTCCAAAAACACAAATTTAATATCATAACGATCAAACAAACAATGCATAGTATTAGTGGTTATAGGTTCCGTTTTGTCTCGTCTATTATGGATGCCGGGAGGTTCAACCGGAAAATGTAATTTTTGGACCAGTCACCCATTAATTGAAAATAATTATGTATGCCACGAAAGAACGTATTTTGAACGTGTGTTTTTCACATAACTGTCATTGTAGAAAAAAGTACTTAGATTTTTAGCTTACAAGTTTTTCATCGACATATAATACATTTTTTCTTAGGTACTAAAGGCAATTTTTTTTCTTTGAAATATTGTTTATTATTTTTGTTTTCAGTCTTATAAAATAAATGTAAAATCAGTTAGTGTGATAACGCATCTTGAACTATTAAGAAATATCATGTAAACTTAATATATCAAAGAAGTCACTCGGAAATACACTAACACAAGGGAATTATTATTTAATATTTGAGTAAATCTGTCAGACAATTTATTTTACTTATTCTGCAAATTATTTCAAGGGGCGAGAATTAGGTTAATTGTTTCATAAACTTGTTTCTATGATAGCCATGGCTTGAATAACTATATATAAAGTTCTTCCTGTATTGTGTCTTAACTAGTTGGTATAGGTAAGTACTAGATAGGTATATATTATAAAGTAAGTTGTTATGTGAAGACTTTTTATAAATTAGAGGTTTTATATTGAAAGTTTTTGCCTCACCCATGCATAACTAAATACTCCATAAGTATACTACAGAGTACAGACTATACTTATTATTGATTTATATATTATAAGGTCACATTATATAGACAGTTTTGATTAAACAGTGTTCTTAGTAGGTGTAATCAGGAGTTTGCTATTTTAAGCTCGAGTTTGAAATTTGGGCCCCTGGTCAGATATTTGTCTTGGTTACTTCAAGATATTTCACTGAAATTTCTGTTAGTACTTGGTTGTTAGTAGAACTTGCTTATTTATATGCAGGGCATGGATATCTTAGTTATTTCGAAAAAATTTCGTAATTTTTATTTGTGTTGATTTAAATTTTTCAAAGATTACCCAATAAGTTATCACCGTGAAGTTAGATAGTAATATTTTGTAACATTTGGAAAACTGTAAAATGATTTTTGTGGTACGCATTTATTGGTTTTTTTTTTGAATAGGTATATCTAGGGATGTTTAAAATGTTTTTTTAGGTATTATGAACACGGATTATAGAAAAAAGGAACTTTGTAACTATATTATATCATACTCCAGGACTGAACAAACAATAGAGCAGTAGTGAGATTCGGAGTCCGATTGCGGCCCGAATTCCAGTAGTCGGATCTTATCCTAAATATAAGTATACTGCAGATTGCGTCTCAAAACACATTGGTTCACAAAATAGCGAATAATTAATAATATTATACAGTTCTATGTAAACATATAATTTGTATTAAAATGCATCATAAAAAGTATATTATACATATAAACATTCATGTAGTTGAATAATTGTTTACAATAAAAAAAAGATACAAAATAAAATTAATGTCAATAAATATTAAAATAGTAATCTAATTAATACATTATAGTGTTCGAGGTAGATTAGGTGATAAAAACAAACAATTTAAAATCAAAACAGATACGTTTTACAAAGCCCAACAATTTAAGTGATTTAATTAGGATCAAATAGGTAGGTGATTGGAATTTTATTTATTGAAAGAGTTCATCAGGTAATTTTACAAAACCGAATATTTTCACCCCGGGGTTATTATTATGTTCACATATTTTCTACCAGGGAATAAAAATCTTCTATAGCATATTTACCCTTGAAAATAATATCCTGGATAAATTTTCCGGTTAGTCAGGGGTGGTGAAAATAATTCAGATTATTAAATTCCAATGTCCACCGATCTGGTGAGAAAGAAAGTGCCACGTTCTGCGCTGTGGGTGGTACGATAAAAAGAATACTGGAAACATTTTTTATTTGTTTTCGTCCACTTATAGCGACCCCCTTCTCTTTGATCCCGGAAATTCGCGGACAGGAGATTCTAGACGTCTATATATTATTTATATTGTCTTATATCGAAACTTTGCAGTACACACAAACTAGCTAGTGTATCATCTCGTGATGCGGAAAAATAATTGGCTCAAGTCTCGACACGATACCGCCGTCTTGTTTGCTGTTGGCGTCATCACGAAGTCACAACTACGCGTTCGTTATAAATAATATTGTCATCATACGATTACCTATACCCGCCGCGTGCTATCATTATCGCCGTCTCCAGAGTCCGGGAGTGGCTTCGCTATGATGGGCTAAGAGCTGAGGGTCGCGCCGTGATGTCTGCCCGGTTAATTAGAAAACCTGCAAAAGCAGCACACATCGGCATACGCATAAATATGTATAGGAGGGACCTACACTTGTGTCTGATGAGTACGTAAGAGTGAAAACGCAATTAGCATTTAAATTCGTTAGCCGGCCCCGTCGCGAGCGTACAGTATGTTAAATAATAAAATAATAATAATAATAATAATAATAATGTATTTATTATTATTTTCATCATAATATTATGCGGACGTGTCCCCGTGCGATTTTTCCTCGTCATCAACGGCAGTGTTTTTCTTTTCGTCTCTTCGTTAGCTGAAACGTGCTCGCACTCGCTACATAATGGTGACTCGTATACATTTTGTTATTATTATCTTCGTGCGGCGTACTCGATTTTTGGGACTCGACAGTGAGCAGCGACAGCGTTCGGGATTTGTCCGACGGATCCTCGTCGATCCGCCCGAGCGATGAGTGGGAGGGGGGGGGGGGGGTCACGTCGTCGTGCGATGCGAACGGCGTGTCTCGTATAATATTATACAAAAAGAGAAACGGCGGAAACGCGTTCGGCCGACGACGGTGGTAGAAAAAAAAAAAAAACGAGAAAAAAATCGGGGAAAAAAACTGAATAAAAAACCACCATATATAGCGAATACACGTGTCGACGATTTATATTCGTGGGCTTGGGCGTAAACGTTGCCCCCGCAGTACGTTTTTCATATATTCGTGTTCACCGTCGTATAATATTATACGTACTATATAGTCACAATGTATATATGTTATAATATGCGAACGTTCGTACACACATACGTGCATAGACCATATTGTACTTGTATACATATACCTCTATGTGTGTAGAGAGAGCGTATTCCTATTACGTTAAACAAACACGATATCCCGTCTCGTAGGCGTGTTTGCGTTTTTACGCCGTGTCGCTAAAAAACATAATATAAAAACAAATTCGGTACCCCCCTCCCACCGCGACGCGTTCATCTCCGGCGGATGTTGCTCGTATATACGTAGCTCAATAATATCATATACACGTACCTACGCATATTTCAGTGTACGGTGTGCGATCGTCGTGAGAAAGCCGATGGGTGGCGACGGCACCGTAGACGCTCTGGCTCGAGAAAATTCACCTACACTACCATGCGCTGTTTATATAGGAGGAGAGTAGGTATCCGATATATATTGTGTCGGAGAAAAATTGATGGTTTGGTGTGTGTGCACATGTGTGTGTGTTTTTGGTGAAAATATTAATAACGACGATGCCGTGCGTGCTTGTGGTTTTATAATATCGTGCAATAAAATCGATCAGATTTCGTGTGTATACTGAACTGATATTATTATAATAATATTATACAGAGTGATACTTTTATCGTGAGCCAGGAACACTGCAGGCCTCGGGAATTACATATTTCCCTTAGACTTTCTGTTTTAAAAAAAAAAATGTTTTACGGTTATACATTTATGTCAGAAACCATAATTTTGTTTTTAATGTAAAAAAAAATATTTTTTATTTTCTACGATATTGCCTGGTTCACGATAAAATGAGCGCTCTGTTGAATTATAACGGAATACTGAGTATGATGGCATACGCGTTATATATTATAATATGTCATTAAAATACAATAAATTGCGGCTTAACGCTTTTTTAGCATTATCATCAGATTCCGTATAGGACAATTTTATATCATGCTCACCACATGTATTGCTCGACCTTCAAGGATATTAAAATTTGATTTGTTTACGGCCAGCGTATGTATGCTCCGTAGTCGGTGGCAAATAAAAGACAAATTGGAATATAAACCTAATTTTAAAGAAATGCGTCGAGAAATCGCAACCGTTATGTGTCATTTACACTCTTGCCGCACTTAGTTGGATTTTAGTTTTATAATTTATTTTATTTCATGTTAGATGGGTAAACGTTAAAGTTATAGGTTAAGGCGGCGGCCACTATTGCAATAATATTACAAACTCACGAACAGATACCGGAAAACGGACACCCCGACCGCGGTGTACCGAAATAGCCTATCCATCACTCCGTGTAATTGTAATATAATTTTGTTGTCGAAACACATTCACGCGTGGTATTGGATCACGATAGGTCGTCATATTATTATTGTTTCACAAATCGTACACATTGTAAAAGATTTAGTTACAGTTCGACTGTAAATTATTATTGATTTACTCGTGTTAACAAAATTTTAGGTATTTGAAATTAAAACATATCGTTATGGTATTTTATATACGTATTAATGGTTAAAATTTACATTGATATTCCGTTCAATAATTAAACTAAATACGTTATACGTATCGATATTTTGCGGTTTGCTCGTTCGACTGACAAATTTTATGCTGTTAAAATATACGTTTAGGAGTAATTAGTTTTATGTTTGATAAACTATAATTAATGTTCAACGAATAAATTGCTTTACCTACGTCGTCT